GCTTAAGAACATTTTGCTAAATTTTTTTCACGTTTTCAGCCACATTTGATACCGTGTAGATTATCTTTTCGCACCAGCACGTCTTTTATAATTTCTTGCATTTCCTAAAACATGACAGTCTGGATGATACTGATGGGTTTCTAGTACATTATATTATGGTCATTTTAGCTATGAACACACATAGAATTAAGCATGGACTACTACTATGTCTAGCATAATGTATATGATGTGTTTTGTTTCAAATTGTTCGTAATGTCATTGGACACACACACAAAAAAGGTTGGGTATTAAGCAGTGAACAATGCTGTTAATGACAATTTAAATTTGTTTTATATTTATTATTCCACTTGAATAATGTGAATGCTTTATACATTTTGAAAATAAATGCAACATATGCAAACCATTAGAGTTTGTGCTTGGAACCACAATAGCTAGAAATTGTTCGTGTTCATGCAGCAACTATGTGGCCTAGTTCTGCAGGATATTATGTGGTACGTTAAGACCTGTTTGCTACAAAGCATCATAGACTGTATATACAGGACACACATGATGCTTTCAGTCAGGAATGCAAATTGCAGCCTCAGAGTCTTTGAAGACTCAGAGTTGCTTGACATGTTGATTTTTTTTTTTTTCTTAGAGCCATAGGCGGCCATATTTGGAGCTGGGAACATCCTGCATTCATAAACTGTCCTGGTGCAACATGAAGACAGCAATATCTGCTGATTAGCGCTGAAATTAGAATTTCACTCACAGAATCTGAAGCACACACTTTTATCCCTCACAGCAGGCCATATTATTTGTCAGGTAATTCCATTGCATCTGCAAAAATGCTAACAAAAGCTACAATTAAAATATTAAGCTTTAAAAAAAATCAGTGTTGGGAGTTGTAAAAGAAATCCAAGAAAGAAGGAGTTCTATGTAGAATGGTGGCTGTAAATATGTTTTTTTCTTTTCGTTAATGTAAATTTGGTTATTTTAACATAGGCAATTTATTCATTTTTGAAGTCAGTCTCGAATAGACATTTAAGGAAATGGAGTTATTGGTACTTCCAGACCTGAAGCAACACATCACCACACATCTGCTGAGCTTCTGTAATAAAATTTAAATCAGCAGACAAGCAGAAAGAACAGAGTCATCTGAGCACCAAGGATTCCTGTGCTGTGTTGTTACTATGCAGGAAAAGTTAAATGTATAAATACACAAGTAAAGTATTTTAATAGTATCTAATAGTATACTTAGACTAGTCTATGTGTTTCTAACTGTAACTGTACTTAATACTGCTAAGTTCACACAAATTGATAATATGTGCACACAGTTTGCTTGGTAGAGAAACGACCAGTCATTATGACAGTGTAATCTATCTGCCATCATTATGGCACATGTTTTCACTTTGGGCCAGCTGACTTGATTTCTTCCCATGAAAGACAGAACAGTAACGATGGACAAAACAGGCATCAAGATACATGAGAAATGCTAGATAGTTTAAGGAAGGGGCACTTTTATACATTTGTCCTGATTCCCATGGCCAACTTCCAGCATGGACAGGAGCTGATTGGAAAATTCCCATTAAGGTCATTTGAGGTCCAGGAATGTTTGGGAACTGCAAAAAAGAAGAGCTTCGTGTTTTCTTTTCCCCTCTCTTCTTTTGTCCCATCTGTCGTAGCCATGTTTGCGCTGTGATGATTGTTTAACGTCAAGATATCAAGAATCAACTTATTATTTAAATATTAGATAAATATATGTCCTTATTAATAGTATTATTAATAAAAATATAACAAATAAAGACCAATTAAATAAAAATATAACCACACCAAAGCTAGAAGTGAAAGTAGATTCATCCATCACATCAGGTCATTGCTCATTGCGGGAGCAGAAGTCAAAGCAGAGCTGCCAGCCCCCCCTCTCCACAGCAACCTCTTCTAGTTCTTCCATTAGAAGAGGGGGCACTAACTGCTCATTAACTCAATCAAGAGATGTAATCTGTCCAGTGCGCCTTAGGTTTGTCTCAGAGTCTCCTTCCAGTAAAACGTGTCCAAAAGGTCTCACCCAGGAGACATCCTAGTCAGATGCCAAAATTACATTAACTGGCTTGTTTTAAGGTGTAGGAGTTTGTACCCATACCATAAAAAACATACATATGTCATATCTGTAACTGAGTGGAAAAAGTCAGATGATACAGCTTAACTCAAACCATGGGACTTTTGCAACACACTGAAAAATATATAAAATTTTTACAAATTGTTGTCTCAATAACCACAGTATTTTGTGTTTGTATTGTCAAAGGAGATAAGACTTCCTTTATGGCAGAGAAGCTCAAAGAGGGACGGATTGGAAATCCTAGAGGGACAGCATCCCCATGTGGTGAAACATGGTATTTCTTATCAGCTGTAAAATAATAAGCACATTTTTATTGAAATTTACAGTAATTATAGAAACTGTACT